TTTTGTGCCGAACAATCGGTAGATAAACCAAAATCATCAATGTGGTTTGAAAACTCATCAAACAGTTCTTAAGTAGCTTGAAAACTGCAAACTCCTTAAACCCATCGAATCGTAAATTTGGTGTTGGCAGTGGGGCTTTCCTCGAAACAAACGCGTCCAACCCTGGTTATTTTTTATAGTCTTACCAATGTCTGCCTATTTATTCAGCAGATATCCTGAGATATTTCTTCGAAGTCAGTGTATATTTTCCTCTTCAAAGAGTATTCAGTGCGAACCGCTATAAAGGAACGAACAAAAGTTAAAGAATGCAATTTCTAGCCAAAACAAATTGTGAAGCATTGCAGTGATTTTGAGAGTACAGTGGAAGGTTGCTTCTTCTTGAGACCGTCAGCGCTTGTCTGCGTACATGGCGCTGTCGTTAGGCCTGCTAAAAACGATAGGTTAAGTTTTCAGTGATAGCTGAGGGCCGTACATACATTTTCGCAGCCTATCGGGACACTGATGAGGCTCTCAGATTGGCGCCATTTTGAAGTTTTGGACGAGTAGCCGCAGCCTTCCCTACACATGCTCCTATCGTAGTCGGCTGATGATCGAATTTGTGACTCCTTTTTGCTGATGAGGATTTAGCGCTCTTTGAAACCGTAGGGCAGATTTTCAATGGAGTTCTTCGAACAAAAAATGCTTGAAGCTAATAAAATCAATGAGCTTCATCGAGAGGTGCCTAACGGCTACCCCCCCCCCTCCATAAACGTGCCTTCCTTTCTCACTCACTGCACCGATTAATCTACACAACTAGCGCTACCGGTCTTGCATACGAATGTAATGCTTTCAGACATTGTAATGAGCACAAGCTGGATGCGGTGAATGCAGCGTCGTTCGGAAAGCTGATTCGGTCCGTGTTCAACGGTCTGCGGACCAGACGACTCGGCACACGAGGCAACTCCAAGTATCACTACTACGGCATACGTATCAAAGCCGATTCGCCATTAATGCAGTGCCACATCCCCGAACGCTACTCGCCACACGAAGCATCGGCGCCGATTTGCCGGCCGTAAGTGTTATGAACTGCAGCAATTAGTCCACTAAAATGATGAATGAGACAAGAGCAAGTGAGCAGCCTCGAAATTCCTCTGTGGTAAATGAACGATGTTCAGGTCCCTCAAACGCCCCAACACGGCCGATGTCCGTACAGAACAGCCGACCGGCAAGCAGGTACAGTTTCTTCATTTCTTAAGTCAACCTGTAAATGAGCCCATAAAAGATCGGTTTGAAGAAGTGATTTTGCGCTATCGCAATATATAGGGGGCATAGTAATGTCAATGCACTTAAAACCGCGTGGCAGTGTTTCCTGTCAGTTGAAATCGGAACTAAGCCTTATAAGCAAGGGAGGAGAAAATTCAGGTTTCGTGAACAGTTTCCATTGTCTTCTGAAGTTTCCGCTCCCTTCTAGTCTTGGTTCTAGAGGATGCCCCCGTATCTTGCGGGAGCGCCAGTAATGCTGTACATCTGCTGCCATTACACCACCTAGCCATGGCATGGACAATAACAAGTAACAATTTTTTTCTTAACTGTTGCTCCGTTTGTTTGAGTTTCTTTTAAGAAGCAATCGGCCAGATTTTTTAGCGAAATATTTTGTTACCCTCGTAACCTATCTACAGTGTCGTAAATGCAGGATCAAGGCCGCAGTGGACACAGAAGTAGATGTTCTGGGGCTTTTTGGCGGTGTGGTGGGGTGGCGTTGACGGGCGAGTGCTATGGTGAGTGCGCACGCGGGGGGGGGTGTGGAGGGGGAGGAGGTGGTGTCTCACCGGTGTTACCTGAGGGCGATGCGCAGACGCGGTCTGCGGTCTAGAAAGCTGTGAACACTAATAAACTTCTGCAACTTATACCATTCCTATTTCTGGCACTAACTGGGAAACCATCTCAGGCTAGGATCGGAAACTTTCGATCTAGATCTGTTCCGAATCCAGCCCACAAATTTTAAAAAAATTGCCATTAGATTTAAATGGACCGAGGCAGCCAAAATTATATTGAGACGAAGCAATAACGTTTGTCTGCTAACATTGCTGGCTGGTTTGAGCTGTGGTTTCGTGTTTTGTCTTTTGTGTCAATTAGAAATCATCGTTACATATTTTTTGACTCTCCCTTACCCATAATTAGTCAAGTTTGCAAGCACAATCGTTCAAGAAATGCATCCCAAATATACTTGTGGCCCAAAATGGAAGTCTCGACCGGAAGTGGAAAGTGACGTGGCTTAAGTTCAGGTTTTTCAGCTGATATGTTCGACAGGTAATAAGCCAGTAGACAATACCATAAGGACGAAGGCTTTTCAAGCAGCCCGAAGCCTTCCTCGCACCCTTAGGTATGCCAAGTAATCCACCAATAATCGCACCGCCTCCCATCGTGGCACTGTCAATGGGCATTTCAGAGGTTGACGTTAGTGAATCCAACTATGTTTACAGGTTCTGTTTAAAACAAAAATAAAACAAAACACTCCAGTTCTTAAAGGCAAAAGTCAGGCTCGTGTTTGGGCATTATGGCGCCTGAAATTGAGTGTAGAGATGGGAGGTGGAACGACAGTGAAGAAAAAACGCAAAGAAACCGTCGACAAGACCGAAATCGAAACCCCTTCCCTTCTAGCAGTGAAGGAGGCTTGCTCGGGGGAGAGCCACGTCCAAACGAGTTTTCCGGATATGCCAGCCGTTCCATCGGTTGATACGGCAATCAACCTAGCTGATCTCACACGTTAGGCCAGCCACGCACCACATCCCGCGGTGGGCGGGACCAGCTGATGAAACGAACCCATCGCTGTAAGTAGTAGGCCAGAGGCCTTGACGGCGCGCAATCTCGAGTCAGGAGTGTGGCATCACCCCTCTGAGCGCATTCCTGGAAATATTAGTGATGGAAAGGCCTTCTATGGTCACCTAATCCTGACTCGTGGCTTTAAGCTCAAATATTAATGAATAATGTAAATTTGGCCATCGTTTTGTCGGTGCAAAAAACTCAAGTTTTTTGATTGTTTGTTTTTTCGTGATTTTGCTTGAGTTGAGAATGGAGGTGGTGTGGTTGCAGTCGATTTGGCCCTAATATGTTCAGCATCGAGAAATTATAGAAATCGTTGTGAAAAAAAGGTAGCTGACTGTTGGGTAAATCATGCTTAAGTATGCCGCTGAGATGTTCAAAAGGATGGGTGTGGATAACTGTGTTATTTTTATAGCGTCGAGCGTGGGAAACTTGTTTGGTCTCTGGGGCACTTGGAGAAAAGTGCCCTTCATTCAAACGCCACAAACCGACGGTCTGATTGAAGCGCTACCGAAACTGGGACTCGAACTCGCGCATGTCGTCATGTTCGTCAACACTTACACAATCACAAGACGCTCGGTGGAAAAGCTTTTGATTTTGCTACTTATTGGATTCGATCGACCGAGCTAAATTTTTGTTTGTCACTCGTGACGGTAAACAACTAATTTTCACCCTATTTCTTGAAGCGTTCATTTTCTAACATTCCTCATGTGTGAAAAATAATAGACAGCTAGAATGTAACAATCAGTGATTAAGCTGGAAAGCATATGTGCTATCAAGATGAAGCATTTTTAGTCCAATGTTCATATCCCTGAGTTCATGTTATGTAATTTTGCAAAGGAGAGACGGGATTAGACCTGTGTCGCAAAGGGTCCAGCGGAAAGAGAGACTAGTTGAAATTAAACCTGTGTCTACTCTACCTGCCTCCTGTTCGTTGAAGTAGCACCTCCAGCAAAAGTCGTGTCGAAGAATCTATTCACTGGGTGGGATAGAGAGCCCACGAGTAGCATAGATGTGCCGTTGACGCGGCTCAAAAGTGCGCGACAAGGACGCTAGGGTCATACAAGTCACCATTTGACAACTAATCTCAAAATTTGGACGTAGTGCACACCCCATGACACGCAACGTGGATTACGGCGTAGCGGCTAATTCAAATACGCGCGGGTTAGTTGAGCCGTGGAGCAGGCAAGTTCGTACAACTCGTCCGGCCCCGCCCCTTCCTTTTTCAAGGGGAATTTTGTTTTGGGCTTCATCGACGGTTTTCTTTGCTTCTTTTTCATTTTTAGTCAACTCGGCATCCACAACTTTATTGTGGCCCACGAAACTCGATCTGGAGGTGTTGCTTTAGCAGAATGCGTTCATTAGAAATATACCTCTCGCACTGAAATCAAGTCCTCCATTAGAAGGCAAAGAGGGTATCCGGTCACCTTTGAGGCCATCTTGTGTACTACATTAACAGCTTCTAAACAAAGGAAGCCTCCACACGAAGATTGCCCGCGAAAAACTGCAAAACCGATGAGAAGTCTGGCAAAGTTCCATACTCTTCTTCCGAGTTGAGTGCAGCTTCAGGTTTATTTCTGGTGAGTTACGAATGTAGAGAACATTGTAGATATTCCGCCCAGACCTCAAAAGGGATTCCTTAAGTTGCTTCATATCGTCCCCATAAGCACTGCGACAATCAGCTCGCCAAGCAAGGAGGCGCGGCTTTCAATTCAGGTTGTCGTACGTGGCGAATTCCACTAGCTTGTCTTGAGCAACATATATTTCTCCTTCTTTCTCAACTTACGCTTTTTCCTCCCTTCCTTACTGAAGAGCACGGAGGGAGGGTATTTTTCCAGTTTGGCTTCCGTCTAAGGGCACGTGCGAAACGGAAGTCGAACTAATTCTTTGATTATTCCCCTAAAAATTTCTAATTTCTATGTTTTTGCTAA